ATCCATATTTGTGCCCATTCCAGAGAGATGGCCCAATAAAATGCAGCAATAATCTAATATCACATGCAAGTAAAATTTTGCTAAAAATGTATGCAACAGTACATCAAGAGGGAACTGTCAGAAATTTAAGCCAGATTCAGAAGAGGATGTCGAACTAGGGATTTCATTGCTAATGTCAACTAGATCTTGGCTGAAAGCAGAGAATATTAGAATTTATACTTTATTGACTATGTGAAGACTTTTAACTGTGTGGATCATAACAATCTATGGATAACACTATGAAGAATGGGTATTCTAGAACAATGAATTGTACTCATCATAGGTACCAAGAGGCAGTCATTCAGATAGAACAAGGGGATATTGAATGGTTTAAAATCAGAAATGGTATGTGCCAGGGTTATGTTCATTCACAATACTTATTCAACCTGTATGCTGAGCAAATAATTTGAGAAGATGGATTATATAAGAAAAACATGGCATCAGGATTGGAGAAAGACTTATTAATAACCCACAATATGCAGATGATACCACCTTGCTTGCTGAAATCAGAGAGAACTTAAAATACAGATTAAGATAAAAGACTACAGCCTTCAATATGGATTGCACTTCACTGTAAAGAAAACAAAAATATTCACAACTGGACCACAAATAAAATCATGATGAATGGAGAAAAGATTGAAGTCAAAGATTTAATTTTGCTTGGATCCACCATCAGTACTTATGGAAGCAGCAATCAAGAAATCAAATGACGTATTGCATTAGGCATTCTGCTCCACAAGACTTCCTTAAAGTGTTCAAGAGCAAAGATATCACATGCGTGAGGCTACCGCAAACACCATGGTTTGGCCTGGCCCAAGCTGTGGTGTTTTCAGTAGCCTTATGCGTGTGAAAACTGAACAATGAATAAGTAAGACTGCAGAAGAATTTGGGTTGTTATGTTGGAGAAGAATATTGAAGGTACCATGGACTGTCAGAGTTCTGGTAGTATAAAAGGAGCTCTGGTAGCGTAGTGGTTACTAATTGGGCTGCTAATCTCATGGTCAGCAGTTCGAAACT